GATTCTAAAAATCAAATTTTCATAAACCAATGTAATGGTCATAACTTTAAAAGAGCAGCGCATATGGAAGAATCCTTCTAAATTTTTTCCTAGTTCCAACAGGCCCTACGTAATGACTGGAATCTTATCTCAAACGCAAGATATCATCTCGGGTAGTTCTCTCGTTAGAATAGAAATAACAACGAGATCTAAAACATTCACAAGAAACTATTCTCGTTAAGGTCTGTTTATGTATAAAGTTTCGAGTCGAAATTCAAAAATCAATTTTCTTGAAGGAAACCGAGACATACATTTTAAAACTGCTATAAAAGTGTAGTATCTCAGCAGGAATAAGCTAAGAACACAAACTCTTTTTATAAGGTACTTATAATTCATTTAGGTCTACAAATCAGTTAAAGGACTTCCCTCATAAGTTTAAACAAATTCAAGTTCTGATATTCTCAGAACATTCACAACAATAGAAAAAGATAATTAAAAGAAAAATAAATTAATGCAAAGGTATGAGTATCAATTCTTTTATTGACTATTTTTTCGTAGATCAATTTATCTGTATTTATTCTTTTTTTGTTGTAAATAAATTTTTGTTTTTAGAAATAATTGCGAATCATAGAAAATCTATTGAATATCTTGTTCATTATCATCGAAGTATGCCTATGGAAACTGATGAATTATTTGATCGTTTAACACAATCTTATGTAAATCAACTTGAACAAAATCAAGCTAAAATTTATATAAAACTTATTGATTATTTTGATCGATATCTTATTCAAGAAAAAAATGATATTGATCATATACATCTTAGACGTCTTCAATCTGATTTATATCTTCAATTATCATATATTTCACGTCCATATCAATCTCAAGTATTTTACAATAAACATAGAAAACTATTAAACGACAATGAACAAATAATAAACATATACAAAGATCATTTGACATAAAAATTTAAATTATTTGTTTTTTTCTATTTGATTTAAATCTTCAATTAAATTTGAACGACCTGATGTTATATGATCTGTTATTATTTGTCCATAAAGATTTCGTTGAAGTAATTTATATGCAAGTGGTAATAGATTCATAATACGTGAATGAAGTTTTGATGAACCATATAAAAATAAATTTAAACCAAATTCTAAACCTTCACCATAATCACATTCATCATTTGCAAATTGTATACATGTTATAACATGTTGTAATTCATCTTCAGCTGTTTGACTTATAGATTCTGATGTACTATTACAAAATTTATCACAAACTTTTTTAAATTGATCTAAAGTAATATGAAAATATTTATTAGAGAATACCGAAAATATTTTCATTTCTTATAAAAAGCTTAAAGATATAGCTGATCATTCTTCAACTATTACATTAAAGCCCTGCATCAGACTTCGAAATCCGGCTTCGTCGCAGTTACGTTAGTAAAACAGACAAGTTTTTTTTTTTTACTCTTGCATAATAACAAATTTATTCTTCAGATATTAAGTCATCAACAAAAATAAGTTTCAAGAATAAAAAATATCAGAGAGCCATTGTTATTAACAAGTAGCATTCAAAGAAGTGTATATACTAGTCAAAAAGTTTCACTCTGCAGGACTCTAACGTGTATTTTCTTTTTTCTCGTGGCCTCTAAAGACCAGCCATCTATAAACATATTAGGGTATAGAAAAAATGATATTGATAGAACAAAAAATAAATATAGAAACAAATTCATTAAGTCTTTATTTCCATTAAATGTTCGAAATAATCGCCCCGATTATCTACACTCCATTGCAATTGTTAAATCCGATTATCGAACGTTTTTTTATAATCTTCTTTAGTCAAAGAAAACATGAACTTGTTTACAGCACGATGCAATGATTTGGAATCGCTTAGATTTTTTTTTTGTTTGATTAAGTCGAATAGCCGAAAAAGTACATTATGACTTCCATCAAATTTTATCCGATTGGACTAAAAATTTTTTGGAGATACTAAAGATTATATCTCAAAGGTAATTTTAAGCTTTTTCAAAAATCTGACTTTCATTTTTCTTATGAGAGAAATACGTAAATGTTCGGTACTAAGACTGGGGTCTTAGCTTTCAAGATCCTATAAATCCGGGTAGGAAATTCAAAAACGAAAACGACTGATCTAACCTCTGGAAAATCCTTCTAAGTATCAGTGGATCGGTTATACTGTCTTCGAGTACCACGAACAGTCAACAAGAGGGCAGACATTCTTAAGGAAAAACTTGTTTCTATATGAAGACAAAATGTGATCTAATATTACCATTACAGATCATAACAAATAGTTCTTATCAAATATTATTATTATAATATTAGTTGAAGAACGATTGAATATTAGAGAAAAAGTTCTTTTAAGCTATTTATAAAGAAGTAAAATACTTTCAGTCACTACTTTCATCATGCTCTAAGTAGTTTGAAGAAATTCTTTTTTAAGAATATTAGTTTAATAACCTTTAGTAAATGGAACAGGACGATAACCAATATCATTTTCAAATGGAACAACCATTCCTAAACAATTTAATAATGTGCAATTAATTTTTTTCTTTCGAGCATTGATTTTTGGTGTTATTTCATCGAGAGAATATTTTTGTTTTTTTGCGTAAGTTTCGAGATCAGTTAGAAAATTTTGTAAATCATTTTTAGTATTTGATTTAAGAATAGAACGACCATATAAACTAAATAAAAAGAAAGAGAAAATTAAATTATTCATAGAAAATTTTACTTACTAAACTGCAGCAAATATATTATCACCACAAATTTTAAAACGATTATTCTCACTTGCATTATTAGAAGTAAGAAATGATGGTAGTTCATCAGGTGAATCTCTAAATAAAAATAATATTAAATATATATAATTAACAATTTTTGAAATATATTAAAAAAAAATACAAGATTAATAATTCGAAAAATTAATGTCTATATTCTTTGTTATATAGATAAATATTACCTTACCTATAATAACCAATATGAAATTGACTTGATTTATCAAGAGTTCGAATAAGAGTCATAAATTCAGGTGTATCATAATAATATCGATAATGTAAATGAACATTGGGTACTGTTTTACATTGTTTTAAAGCATCATCAAGAATTTCGAATGGACCCACTAATTCCAAATTAAGTAAATTTTTCAAAACATCTAAATGGAGAGAGAGTGTAACAAACTTTTCGGACATTTCAAACAATTATTAATAGCATAGATTTGAAATTTTTTGCTTAAATAAACATTTTTTTTCTCATCACTATGTTAACAAACATAAAACTTGAACTCAATGAAAGATTCACCGGCATCTGCTCTAGATATAAGAAAACTCTGTTTATCCTACCCAATTGGTTTGTAAGAGTTCCACTTTAGGTCGCGTACGCTAAGCTGTATATGTGCAATGAAATAGGACTGTCACACACAGATATTAGAAAGAATAAAATCAGGTTTCTAGAAATTCCAGCTCACGAAAGAACCTCCACCCAATTTCAATGATGTTAGATATTACATACTATTCGAATAAAAACTCTAAAAGGATTTGGGTTCGAATAAGCTATCGATTTTATTTCTACAGGTCTTAGATTTTTGGAAAACTCGTATTTTGATCTGAAACGTTGTGCATATAGAAAACTCCACTAGACTAGCTTCCAAAAAAAAATTCAGAAGTTTTACACAAAGTCTCATATCTCGAAGAGACTTTATTAAAATTTTTTTATGTAAGCTAATCTAGTTGAGTTCTCTATATGCACAAACTTTCAGATCAAAATACAGGTTTTCCGACAACTTGGAGGAATCTGAAAAAAATTAGATACCTTGGTCAAACTCAAATCTTTTTAGGATTTTTATTAGAACACTGTGCATTTTCTATAGACGGAGCATCTGAGGAGGTTTTCTTGTCAGTTAATCGATATGAAAGTGTCACATATAGGAGTGTACCTAATCGTTTGGATCGTTTTTTACCTAAATGAAGACAAATGCACTTATTTACTGAACCACGTGACACAAGAGTTTTCCTTTGTTAGAAGATTAAATTAGTCGAACGATATTAGAGAATGTCAAAAGAGGAGTTTCAGTAACATTGTTAGATTATGTACTAGAGTTGATCAGAAAAAAACCGAACACGATGAGTTTGAATTATTTTTCAATGTCTTATTAAACTAAACAGTTCATAATCAATGAAATAAGGTTGAAATATGTCTAGTCACAAAATCTATTAGTCATCAAGGTGTTCAATGAATCTTCTAGAATATGTCATTTCTTTCTCACCTCGTGGCTTATTCGTATTTATATTTGAACAAAATTTCCAAAATTCATAAAGATCTGATGGAAATTCCATTTGATAAAGATGTGAAAGTAATTTTTCACCATTTAATTCCATTAATTCCATTAAACTTATTGTAGAATTATTCGATGTTGTCATTTGTTTCCTTGGTGATGATGAAGATGAATTTGTAGTTGTTGTTGTTGGTGGTGGTGGTGATGATGATGATGATACAGGAGAAGAATCATTTGATTCAGATGTTAAATTATCATCTTCAATTTTTTGTTCTGTTGATGGATGACGATAATTTCGTAAATGATCAGGATGTTTTCGATAACATTTAGCACCATATTTACATAAAGGACGTGTTGATGTAACAATTGGTAATGTTGTTTGAGTAAGTTTGATTTTTTTAGAATTCTTATTTGGAGATTTATCTGTCTCCGATAAACGTTTTCGTTCAGCCATTATAAAATAAAAAAACAGAAATTTAGTTTTTCTAAGATTTCTCTTTGATATAAGTTGAATAATAATAGATGACAGATGTAACCAGTCAAAACAATATATATATATATATCTGCATCATAATTTCATTGGTTTAATAAAATTTTAATTTTTTTCGGCGACATCTAAATTATATATCATTCAACGAATCAATGAATACAAATCTTACACCTTAGTTTTGTAATACCATATTCAAAAGAATAAAACCAAAAGTTTTAATTTTTTTTTTACTTAGATAATAATAATAAAAATGTCTGTAATAGAATTAATACCATTAGATAAAGGTAATCGACTTATTCTTGATGATGCAATTGTAACAACTATTGGTCGTACATCAAATATTGGTTGTTTGGATAAAAAAATATCTCGTAATCATGCTGAATTATATGTTAAATCTGATGGAACTTTATGGATAAAACCTATTCATCACAATCCAACATTTTATAGAACAAAAACAAATCAATTAAATACATTAACTAAAGATCAAGAATTTCAATTAAATGACAATGATGAGATTGGTTTATTACCAAATGAATATTTTTATCGTATTTCAATTAAATCAAAAGATGAACAAATAAATTCATCAACAATATCAAAATCACCAATTCAAGAAAAAGAATCTTCACCAGTTCATGAAGAAGAATCTTCACCAGTTGAAGAAAAAGAATCATCACCAGTGCATGAAAAAGAATCTTCACCAATTCAAGAAAAAGAATCTTCACCAATCAAAGAAAAAGAATTTTCACCTATTAGATATCAAGATAAAGAAAAATCTCCTAATCGTGATCCAAATTTAGAACCAGAAGGTGGTGTTATATTACATACATCTCGTGCATTACCAGTATGGATGTCTACTAGTTCAATACCTGAACCAAAAACTCCTAAAGGACGAGGCAAAGGAAAATCAACTGTTACACCTACTAAACCTACTCCATCACCATCCAAATATCGAACATGTAAATATTTCAGTATTTTTACATTCAAAAGATCGAAAATGTAACGTGCTGGCAATTCGAAATTCGAGCAAAATTGTTTTTTGTAGTGAAACTTAGATTGAGAAAAGCCCATAAAAATTGAATCCAATTTTTAAGCATACGATATCTTATCTCTGTTTGAGCTAAAACTTTCAGGATATCATAGGGACCTGTGATATTGAGCTTAATGGTAATTTTTACCCAAGCATTTTTTTCAAGAACTCTTTTCCAGCGTAAAATGATTGTCAATTTTTCAAAAATGAGTATTTAGAAAAAAAAAATGAAAATTGAGGTACTTTGTCAAAAGACAAAAAAAAGACTTCAAATAGTGCGTTTCATAGAGTAGCTTCTGATCTACAGATAAAGATCTCCAATTTTTTGTTTTGAATCGCATTAGTTAAAATACAAAAATTATCTGGATTTTTCAAAGATTATTTTATTACTTTCGGGCAAAAATTGGCGAGAGAACATATCCAATTGTCGGACGCCGTTCAAACCAGAGATGTCCATCGTGGCTGAGAATCTGCCGCGCCGCAATGACTTATAAAAAAAGTTGCCGCGGCAGTTTTCAAAAAAGTGTTTCTAATTTCACTGCTGCGACGATATTTGACCAGATATACTAGCACTAGTCCATCAGATTCATTCAGTCTCGGGGTGTTTCATTTGTAAACCCTGAAATTCTGTTAAATTCATGCAGTTTTTCAATGTCCTCCAAAAAAGAAATGCTGCCGCGGTGATTTTTTAAAAAACCTGCCGCTGCCGCCATGGACATCTCTGGTTTAAGCCCATATTTTGGCTATGAGCAGAACTTAGTAGAACTAAGTAAACCTTAAAAGGGCTCTGGCTTATAGGATACCTGAACGGAAATCTGATTGCCCTATGGGTGTAAAGAAATGAGTTTTGTTTTTTTCGTTCCTTCAAGAAGCTAAGATCTGAAAATTTTAACATAAAATTTGCATTTGTTGCTGCAAGGCTAGTCTTATAAGATCTAATGAAACTTATATATTAAAAATTCCAGATCTTAGCTTCTTGAAGTAAAGAAAAAAAAATCTTATTTCCTTACACATAGAGGACAATCAGATTTCCGTCCCAACCATGATAAAAAAACAATTTTGCTGAAATTTTGAATTACCGTTATATTATCAATAACAAAAATGTCGGGTTTGATTGATCGTTATTAGATATCGGACGAAAAAAAGCCGAAGGAATTGTATACGAAGATGATGAAGAATCGAACGAAGAATCTACTACAACAGCGACTACTTCAAAAGGTCGTTTAAATTTTTTTGCAAAAAATTTTATTGTTTCTATTGTTGATGTATTATAGATCAAAGCAATCAAATATCATCAACAGTTAATAAACCAATTAAACGAGAACGATGTCCATATGGAAAATTTTGTTATCGAAAGAATCCAACTCATCGTCAAGAAGCTATTCATCCTGGTGATCCCGATTGGGATAATAAAGAAAATGATATCGATGATAAAAAACCTGACTGTCCATATGGAAGTGAGTGTTATAGAAAAAATCCAGATCATTTTAATGAATATAATCATACTCAAAAATCATCAACAATAAATAAAACTAAACGACGAACATCAAAACGTAAAGGTGGTAAAATCAAAGAATTTTAATTGATATATTCGAAATGAATATTTTTCTTTTTTTTCTAGGAAGTAATGATGAAGAAGAAGATGATGATGATGGATTACCAAATGAATATGATTATAATGATAGTTTCATTGATGATGAAGATCTTAATGATAGCGGACGTATTGATCGAACCGGTAGATGATTTTGTTCTGTTTTTTTTTTCTTTTTCATTCAAGTTCAATGTATACTTTAGAAAGTTCTCAAATAGATCCTGATAATGATTGGAAACCACGTAAAAAAACTCGACATTCTGATGATGAAGAAAATAGTTCAACAGATGAAAGTGAAATAAATTTATTAAAACACGAAGCAGCAAAATTTGTTCAAGGTTCATCGATTAATCATGAACGTCCAGCTAAAAAGAAAGCACGTATATCTGTACCAGATGAAACTGATTAAATCTGTGATTTTTCTTTTTTTCTTTTGTGTCTTCTTTGGTTATTTTCATTTATTGTATAAAACATTAATTGTATGTCATACGACATGAAATCTCATCATGCTTTTGTATGAATCAGATATCACAATTAGTTCTTGTAATTTTTTTTTGTTTATATCGGTGGAAACATACGTAGTAAAATAATTCAAATAAATGTAGAGTATTATCTGAAGAATCTTCAACTAATTCCAGGTCTACGAAAATTGGTCGAACGAAAAATGATCGAACGAAAATTGGTCGCCGATAATTGGGCGATACGAAAATTGGTCGACACGAAAATTGGTCGAAGCGAAAATTGGGCGATACGAAAATTGGTCGACACGAAATATGGTCGAAAATTTTGTAATAAAAGCACAAAAGTTTTTTGTTAAACAGAAGCTGAAACTCGTAAGTGTACAGGCGACATTGACGTTTATTATATTGATATACTAATATTACAGGTAACCAATAATTCAGACAAATACGTCAGACAGATACAAAAAGAATAGAAATTTAGAAACTATGAGGAAGTCCTTCTAATTGTTGTAGTAACGTTCGCTATCTTGAGGATGTGCCTACTCTCGTCCCCACCCTCACTCTCATTCACGCCCTCATCCGCAAGATAGCGAACGTTACTACAACAATTAGAAGGACTTGCTCATAGTTTCTAAATTTCTATTCTTTTTGTATCTGTCTGACGTATTTATCTGAATTATTGGTTTCCTGTAATATTAGTATATCAATATAATTAACGTCAATTTCGCCTGTACACTTACGAGTTTCAGCTTCTGTTTAACCCTTTACCCCCCATAGAGGTTCCAGAAGAGCTATTGATGAAACAGCCATTGGAATAGAGTATTGGTGCCTCCAATATGCTAAAATTACGGTCAGATCGATCAAATGCACACTTGAGTTTTAGGGTAGTTTGTTGAGGGGGAGTAGGGGGATCGATTTGGAAAAAATGTCGTGAACTTTCCATAATACCGACGGAGTTCGGCCAAAAACCGTCGTAGAGAGCTCATGGACGTCTTATTTTGTAGAGAATTGTTCACTCTATAATTTTACGTAGTTTAAATAAAACTTTATTTTCGGGTTGTAGACGGCCAAAAGCTAAGGGTTGATTTTCTGGAAGTTCTTCAGTGACCATTCGATGCTTTACCACATCTTGCCTACCTAATGCTTTTCAAATTTTTGAAACTTATATAATCTACTAGTGGACACCTTCTTTGATGTAAATCACGCAACACGTCGCCAAGATATATATTGCCTAGCGGTAGAAAAAGAATTTTACCAAAAAAATTCCATTTTTTACTTTTTTTGAAAATCATCGATTTTATAAGTTGTATATCTCGACACTAGCACAGCGAAAAAAATCTTTTCTTTTTACTAGTCGATAGCTCATGAAGTTTACTACAAATAGTGCTCTTAGAGTTTTTGAATTCTATGCTTCCTTTATTTTCTGCAATCGTTCTACAAATGGTCATTCCAGTGACCAAGGGGGGGGGGGGGGGGGGGGGGTAAAGGGTTAACAAAAAACTTTTGTGCTTTTATTACAAAATTTTCGACCATATTTCGTGTCGACCAATTTTCGCTTCGACCAATTTTCGTGTCGACCAATTTTCGTATCGCCCAATTATCGGCGACCAATTTTCGTTCGACCATTTTTCGTTCGACCAATTTTCGCTTTCCCACTAATTCCAGAATAATATCGCATGTGTTCTCAGAATAATAATTATAGTCGCCGAGATGGTCAAAAAACGTTACTGTATACAGTGACCATTTATTTTCATTATAACAGTTTGAATTAAATATTCTTCAATATTGTTAACATCATAAGACAGTACGATTTGTTTTTGATCGTACGTCAAAATTCGCATAAACTTTTTTCTTTTTGTTTGGTTGTTCAGCTCCATGAAATCGTTTAATATCGATCTTAAATCTTGATTGTTCATGTAATATACATTTAGCAAGTTTAGTAATTGAAGGATTTTTTGATTGATACACGGTTGTTGAAAATATGATGGTATTAGCCGATCACGGCAAGTTTGTATAACCTGCTCGTAGATATTTCACAACTGCAAGCAGGAATCTGGTGCCCAGATTTTTATAGTTCCGGGCAGAGCCTGTCAACGGATTTTTGCTCCCAAATTTTTCAATTGGGAACGGCCTGTATTTTTTGACCTGGAATTATTTCTAAAATTTCGATCTTCACAATGAAATACAGCAAAACTTCTCTATAGTGGACCCTCTTCAGACTTGTTAAAAGTGTCCACTATAGGGAGGTAATGTGGTTTTCAAAGTAGACATGTCTCTAGGCATCTAGAGTATTAGTGAATAAGATAATTGGATAGAATACATTATTTCTTTTCTTTTCGTGTATTTTATTTTTGAAAATAGAAAAATCAACAATTGTCAAAATAATCTTTGATAGAACTTAATCTTGCCACTTTCCAATACAGATAAATGTCAGTATATTGAGATTCAAGATCAGAGACGAGAATGTGTAGATGAGACTGTTGAGTAGACGTCAAAAAGAAAAGAAAATGAATACTAATGATTCCGAAAATGAAAGAGCTGATTTCAATTAAAAAAAAAACAGTCGTCTTTGCCGATGTCTAATCATATGTCGTTGCTAAAACAACTCATTTTTCAAAAAATAATCCATAATAGAGAATTTTTCAGTTTAATACAGATAAGTAAACACACAATTGCGACAGGCCATAAAAAATTCAATTTTTGTACTATTCACGATGAATGGATCATTTTCGACTCATTCTACGTCTTCACAGTACAATGACACCACTCAAATTTAACTATACTAGTGTCATATTGAACACCTACATAAGCTATTTTTGTAGTCGACTGAACACCAACTCTGTTGGATTAGTGCCAAGGAGTAAAGGGATAACTATAGGGATTGATCTTTGTGAAGCTATGAGACGAAATGTAATCGGGAGAAACTGTAGGAGTAATTTGTATACTATCGTTTCATACAGTTTGTGATCGTAAATAGTTGTAAGTTGACGTTTGGTAGGCACCGTATTTTATCGTATCGTACCTAGTGCATAACTGTGTGGAAATTGAGTTTCTAATCGTTTACAATACAGTCGTAATGCTACGCTTACCAAACAGTACAAAACCTATCTATAACGACCGTGTTTATGTGACCTAGGTCTACAGTTGACACATCTCGGAAGGCATTGAAAGTCACTCTTAACTAATGAATATCATGAAGTTATTAACTATTTAGATAATATATAAATTTAATAATTTCCTGTAAAACCAATTGCAACATCAATGCAAAAATATTTTTGTGAAAAAAAAAAGTAATGTTATTTGAATTAAAATCATATAGACAAACAACATGAGTCATAAAGTTGAAGTTGTCAGTGAATTTATGAACGCACTTGTTTTTCCAATGTGATATAATATGTAAAAGTAATGATGAAAATTTGAATCATTGTACTCTGAAATAAAAAATTTGTTTTAATCAATAAATAGAAATTTTTTATTTTCTTTTGAATTGCGCGTATTATTTGTGTCAATCAAACACAAGAAGAAAGCAAAACAACAGTAAAGTGCATGTGCGCATAATCAAAATCTTTCATACGAGATCACGATTTAAATTATTTTCTAGTTTTATATTCAAAATAAACAAAAAGATCTTGTGTTTGAACTTGTATACACGTAAAATGTATAATTTAAAGATTTTTTTCTGATCTCTTTTGGTTGACTCATGTCATATATGGACTAGCATTGTTAATAAGTGCATTAAGACATTTTCTTTTTTTGTTCTTACAATTGAATGTAGACAACGATAAAAATCTCATAAGAGGCAGTAGAACATTTGTTGTCTCTACATACACTTCATTATTTTTTTTCTTCATGATCTCAAGTTGAATTTTCATATTTTTTTTTTCTATGATTTATTATTTAGTGTGTGTGTGTCTGCATTCATAGAACAAAGAAGTAAAAATTTTACAGTCTTAATAAATGATTATAAATTTTATGAATATAAAATGGCAAGTCGTATATTAAGTTTTGTTTCATGTACATTATATTTTTTTTTTCTTATTAATTTTACTATTATTGGTTTAACTTCATTCATTATTGGAGTTGTTGGTATTGGTCGTTTTATACCAACACATATTACTTATACAACACATAAAAATACTACATGTTTTATTGTTGATGTTGATTATGATATATGTCAAGATTCATGTTATTGTGTTATGTGGTCTATTGAATATCATATTTCAAAATCTCATAAATATACATTTTCAACAATAATACATAGATATGAAACATTAGATGAAGTATTAAAAAAAATAACTATTTATAATATACGAACTAATCATACATGTTATTATGATAAAACACAACATGTTAATATACGATGGGAAAAACCATCGTCATCAAAACCTTATTTAATTATGATGATTGTTGGATTTAGTTTAACAGGAATATATATTATTATTATTGCAGTTGTTTCTTTTTATCGATCTCGAAGAACAATAACATAATTTCTTCATGATAATTAGTGAAGCAAAATGTCAATGATAATTTATATATATTTTTGATTAATAAATTTGAACGAATGATTATAAATTGAAGCATACACACAAATGGTAATAAATATGAAACTTTCTCAGCAAAATATTAGATTTTACAGGGCAATTATTACTATTTTGAAATAAATTGAATCTATCGAAGATGTTCAAAGTGGACAGCAATTTTAATAAATTTTTTAGTCAATTACTATCTCTTTCTTCAAAATAAGTTGAAATTGGAGTTCTTGTCATAAGGAAAAGTCATGACGAAAACATAGGATAATATCGATGTCGAAAATTCTGTAGTATTACAACTGTTTGCAATACATCTTTTGTTATACAATCAGTCAATTGATGAAATCACATTTGTAGAGTTGTATTATTTTTATAATGGTTTTATTCACAGAAAAAGAGAAGAGTATTCTAATAATTTAGATGAAAATGATTAAAGTATTACACTTCGATAGGAATTATATTTTATGCTAAGATGAGTTTTCAGAGAAGGACGATAAATAATTCATATCTATATTAAATCGCAGGAGCCACGAAAACAAAGGATCCATAATCAGTAATTGAAAATTATTTCGTATTAGCAAATAAACCTAGCAAGATTTTTTAAAACTTTATTACCTCGATGAGATATTTTCTTATATATTTCCTCAACAATCTGAAGACCCTCATGCTATATACTTCTGTTTAATGCATTAGAGATGGAGCCATAAATCTTCATATTTTTTTCCAAAGATTTCATTCCCATTTATTGAACTGATCAGTAGAAGTAAATATTTTCATTAAATTAGTTTTGTTTTTATTCAAGTCAAAAGAGTTCATAATTACCATTGACAGACAGTGCTAATTTTACATTGATAGTAGTTCGCACCAATCAAATCGAAATTGTACATTCGTCATGATATGCCTGATAGATTTTCATCATATGTTGCTTTCTTTGATAAATTAATACTACTAATCATTTCAACAAAAAAACAAATAGACATAAAATGTCACTCTTTGGTGGATCTGCCTCTCAAGCACGTAGTCGAAATTTAGTCGAGTTTAAAGCTGGTAAAATGAATCTACGTGGTAACATGGTGTGTTACGTAAATTTGAATATTTGTATTTCTATATATTTTTATTATAGGTCTATCCAGATAAACGAAAAGGACTTCTTTATTTATATCAAGGCAATGATATGCTGATGCATTTATGTTGGAAAGATCGATCAAATAATTCAACTGAAGATGATCTTGTTATATTTCCAGATGAAATTGAATTTAAAAAAGTAACACAAAGTACAACAGGTGAAAATAAAAAATTTTTACAAATGAGAAAAAAAAACAATTTATATCTACATTATAGGACGTGTATATATTCTTAAATGGCGAATTAATTCTCGTAAATTATTTTTTTGGATGCAAGAACCAAAAGAAGATCAAGATGAAGAATTTTGTAAAAAGATAAATGATCTAGTAAGTTCACTTTTTTTTTTTGTTTTGAAAATTTAATTATATTCAACATATAATTTTACTAGCTTAATCATCCACCAACACCTGGTTTTGGTGATGATATTAGTGATACTCATCCATTACAACCATTTATGGAACGAATGGCTGGTGGTGCAGGTAGTGGTATTGATCCAAATGATTTATCGAATGTTCTTCGAAGTAAATCTCAATTTTTCTTCGTTCTTTCAAAAAAAAACAAAAATTTCTTTTTGTGATAGACTTAGATCCAAATGATTTTGCATCATTACTTTCGTCATCATTTGGACGTAGTGGTCGAAGTACTGGTTTGATACAAGGCACGCAACATAGTGGAGGATCTTCTAGTAGTTCAACGCAGCATGTAACTGATTCTCGGCCAAATACAGCACCAGCTAGTACAACGGTTACATCTACTACTCGTAATAGTGGTTCATCATCAAAACCACGTAATGGTGGAACAAGTTCATCGTCACCTGCTGCAGCACCTAAAAGTACTGCTAGTTCAACAGCATCTAGTGGATCAAAAAGTGGTTCTATTCAAATGAGTGCTTTGACAAGTGTTCTGGCTAATTTGAGTAGTAATGCAACTGAAGCAACAACATCTTCATCTAAACCTGTCATTGATCTATGTGATATAATGACTAATGAAGTATATTTGATAGAATTTTTGTTTTTCGATCTTATCAAGTAACTATTTTAGAATTTGGTTTCATTATTAGCTAATAAAGATGTACAAGAAAAATTACGTGCTCATTTGCCTGAAGATAATACAATACCAAATACAGAAGAAGAGTTAAAAGAATCAATTCAATCACCTCAATTTCGACAAATTGTTAGTGCATTTAGGTTTGTTTAGTAAAATGAAAGTTTGTTTATAGTCTTTGTTCTTTTTTCTTTTTTTTAAATTTAGTGTTGCTCTTCAATCAGGTGAATTAGGACCTGTTCTTATTCAATTTGGTTTACCAGATGATGCAATAAAAGCAGCTAATCAAGGTGATTTACAAGCTTTTGCACAAGCACTAGAAAAACATTATAAAAAATCTCATGAAGAAAAATCATCTGACAATACAATGGATACAAGTTAATAATTTTATTAAGTTTTTTTTTTTTCTGTCTTTTATTCTAAAACGTACAGAAACAAAATATAACGTTATCGTTTAATTTGTTTTTTCAATTGTTACTACTACTAATCTGTTTTTTTTTTGTTTACCTTGAATATAAATCAAGAAAATAATCTACTCAAGCATATGTTGTCATATCTTTTATTTGTCTTTTTCACTTGGATCCAAAACAAAAACTATGAACCAATTCAAAAGAATTCGAAAAAAAAAATTTGATAAGAACTGTAAACATCTAACTAACGTATATTCTATATTTTCTTTTCTTTACATTAGTTCATAATGCCATTGATACATCATCGATTACGGGATTCGGATAAAGTAAGTTTAATATACATATGTTTTTGTTTTCTGTTATGAATACGTTTTATTTTTGTTCTTATGAGTAAATAGAGTTGAATATCATAAGTGTTTATTATTTCATTTTAATGAATATGTCAGTTTACGATTGAGTTATTTGCTGCAAATGATCTTGAAAAATTTTCGTTTTTCTCTAGCGGAATTTCAGCGTTTTTTGTTTTTTGCTCCCTAAGAAACTCTTTATTCCATCGTGAACTAGAGGAACAAAAAATTGATTTCTTTTGTTTGTTAATAGAAATATGTGATCAGGAATGTAAATGAGTAACTATGAATAAAGACACGCGAGAATCGTCTCATGTTTTACTATGCTATCGAAAACTTTGCTTAAAGCATGAGCCAAAGAAAGAGAAAAACGAACGATATGATGAATCCAACAATAGAATACAAGTATGCGAAAAACAGCTGATTATGGTCTGATGTCAGAAGCTTGTTTCTCTTCTCTCAGCTTGGCATATATAAAATTACAATAGGATTTATCTATTTTCTAGTGTATTCATTCTATGTGTAAAACCATATTAATCCATGGTTATCGATATACGTAAAATAAGTAATGGAGCTGGTCTAGCACGACCTGCTTTTCAACATGGACATTTTTATGTTCGTACATTTCATCTTTTTATAGCATATTCAATTTATTCATACTTTTTACTTCTTATTATCTATTTACAAATAATGGATATAATACTTTATTTTAAAATACGTTCAAGAGGATCATTAGATTTAAATGTTATTACAATAACAAATCATACAAATTTAAATAAATTTCATCAAAAAATGACTGAAACATCTAATGATAATCATATATTTAATTCATTATCAATCAAAAAAATGATGGTTGGACAAATTGTAAGTGTTTTAAGTTTCAAATATACATATAAGTTTGTTTGAAAGTACTTATCGATATTCGATTATGATTATGTTTAAAACACGACAATAATCAATTTTTAGCTTGTAGAAATCGAATGTTTATCTATTATTCAGATAAATTCGATATAGAACACACACATCCTATCTTTTTCATTTATATTAGAGTTACGTCTATTAAAACAACTAAAAAAACTGATTTCTATTTAAAAAATTCAATTTTTTAAAATAAAAACATGATTAAATCGATTGCAATTTGTCAACAAAAAAAAAACACATTTGATCATTAATTTTGTTTTTCGAGTTGTGATTTTTTATTATCTCTTTCTCGAATACTTCTACATAGTGAATCGAGTATGTATATCTGTAAAAAGAAACACATATCCATTTAAAAATATTATTTCTCTTAATTGATAGGCTATGCCAAAACTATCATTTAGAACTTCTTAGCTATTTCAAGTCTATTATCAAAGTGTGTCACGAGAATATTAGTGTGAATTCTGTCTGATAATAAAGTCCAAATTCTCCATCGTATTTTACTGATACGCAAATCTTGAAGTATGGAGTTCTTGCTTTTTCCCTCTTGAAGTGAGAGCATCATCAAAGAGTATGTGGATGAGATTATTGTCGTTGTTGAACAGTATCTACACCCTATTGAGAAATAATAGTATGATGATCAAAAATATTGTTACATCAATTTCGTCTTTCTAAAATCAGTATAACTAACGAATAAACAATGTATGATATTAATAGTGTTTGAGTCATTCTAGAGAATATTTTAGTGTCCTTTTTTATATTTAAAGAAAAAGAAGATTTAATATTTCATGCGTTGCTTATCGATCAAATTTGACTATTACTTACAATGATTTTAAATGCCGAAAATAAACATGAGAATTTTTTTAATTTAAAAAATGACGGTGAATTTCGTTATAATCAATCAATATATATTTTAAAATTAGTAATATGAACAAGAAGAGATTATGATCTACTCTTAGAAATGAACCAGCAATCTGTTTTTTTCGATCTCTTATTTGACTCATCTTCTAAGTCTCTGCTCATACAAACAGTCAATAAATATGCTAAATAATAATATAAACGAAAACACTATAGAATGATTATGTTTTCTATTCATCATATACAGTAGTCGGCAAAGATCTTCGTCCTAGCCACTGTATGTGTTGAAAGTCTGAAAATTTATGTGCGTGTACTTCGCCAAGAAGCTAGGTCATTGGCATTGCGACGCCATTATTACTTAACTACAAAGGAAATTATGATGGATGGTATATATTTTTGTTATCATTTTCATAACCCTGGAAACGAGAAGTATTCTTTGTTAGCAAACTCCTCAATATGTAATGTTATGTCTCAGCTATCTACATTACTAATTTCATTAAAGTTCATCAATCATTTCAAAGACTATGCTCATTTTACTGTTATTATTATTATTGTGGAGACAAACCATCTGCTGTCCTTTGAAAGTCAATAAATCAGTGGTAATTCAATGAAACGAGTTCAAACTTTTTGAGAAGCTTCTTCTACAGTTAGATATTACTATTATTATCTACAAGTTTCAGAAGTGAATCTTGCACTAAAGAGAAACAGAACATAGTTGATAATTTTATTAGCTTCAAGAATCCAGAAACATCAATGTCCAAACAAATGCACTTATCTTTTAGCTGAAGAAAGGTTGTAGACGAAACCTCAGATATATATATATATAAATATCAAGAATTAGTCCTATTTTGTAGGCAGTCTTTTTTTAAGGTTATAATGCTTAGAACAAAATTTAAGTATCGTCTATCCTAACTCTCATTGTAATTCAGCAATACTGGCGTCGAAATGTCAATAACATACATTCTTGATGACATACGTACACACAAATTTTCAGACCACCGGTGATCGAGATCAGCTGGAACGAAGATTTTCGTCTACTGCTGTATTTTGACTGATTAGAGTGCTGAAGAAATGTATCCCAAAATAGATCAAATAAAACAAACTACCTGTGATTAGTAACAACAGCTACATTGTGTTTCACATTTTAATTCCACCAGAGATTGTACTAACAGGTTTTTTTTTGTTATATTTAGACACAGTATGTTAGATCACCATTAGCTGAATATGTTGAATCAAATCTTCATTTTACATATTATTTTCCATCAATATCAGTTAATATTATATCAATATTTCATTGTTTTTTATCATTAATTTCAATAAAATTTTTTTCAAGTGAATTATTATTTCAACGTCGAATAGGCATTTTAATTTTTGAATTTCGTAATTTTCTTGATTGTCTTGATGGTGTTGTATTTCGTGCACATATAAAAAATTCACATTATAAGTCGTATCATGATAATTTTGGTTTTTATATTGATAGTCTAAGTGATGTATTTGGTGGAATATGTCTTATTATTGGATGTTTACTTTATTTTTATAAACAACGACCATTTCGATCAATAATACATCAAGTTAATCAATCATTATCAACACGTTTAAGTCGATCGAATGATAATGAAAATGAAGAAATAGATTTAATCATATTAAATATTGATGATGAACAAAAAAAAAATACCATCAATTAATGATATGAATAATAATATATTTAAAACAAATGGAAGAATATTTATTTTTTTAAGTCTTTTTACTTTACGATATGGATTAGCAGCGATATTTTGGGATAGAGATGTACAAGCATATGAAGATTTATTAGATTCATATAAAGATAAAATACACTAACAAGTTAGAAATTATTCTATTAGATTTTTGAATTTATTTTTTGAAAATTTAGACTTTACAATTAACAATTCTTCATTCACCATTAGCGATATTAATATTTTATTTATGGAGATATTTATCAGCAATAAGTATTCAAGATTATCTTATAATTGCTATTTTCTTTGATCGAGCATAGGTTTGTTATTAAATTAAATTACATCTGTATACATGTATAGTTATATTTGTTTTTTTGTTTTGTTTAGGAATTTATACACAAAGCAAATATGCTTGGTTGGATATCTTTATTAATAACAATATTTTTGACGGAATTACATGTTAATCAAATACGATCGTTATTTTATATTTTCTGAATGAAAGAAATCAAACATTACAAATGAACTCTAGAGTTTTTCTTTTTTTAAAAATAAAAAAAAAAAAAAATTTTTCTTGTAATATTGTTTTATTTTTTTGTCATGTATATTCTACTTAAATAATTATATATATATAGAGAGAGAGGCATATCAAATGAAAAGAAAAAGAAAAGACAATATTTGTTATAATTTTAGACAATTATAAAAATGGAAAATAATGATTTGACTTATTGGAAAAATTATCAAACAGCTATGCAATGGATTCAAGGAAATACAATCAATAATGTACCAATATTGATGAGAAAAGAAGAAGAAAATACAATGATTGATGATGACCAAGATAAACAACTTGAATTTACGATCGACGATGATTTACTAGATTTTTATCGTCTGTCACGAGATCATAAAGCAAATCGAAGTTAGTAGAATAGAATGATTTATGCTAGAGAATAAACAATTTAATTGCAAATATAATTCTTTTCAGTTGCTGTCTTGTAACAGTTCGTTATTGATAAACATTCATTTCAAGAGGATCGTTAATAATTGAAAAACAACCAGTTTTTTTTTATTGCTAAAATTCCAACTATTAGGAAGTAAAAAAGGAAAAACACGAAACACATTTTGATATCTTAACCCATTTAAAAACTTTTTTTCTGTAGCATCATGAACAATATGACATACAAAAGAATATCATATAAATTATAAATAGTAGATGATTTAAAATTTCACAATACTGTTTTCGAAAGTATAATTTGACTATCTTTAAAACCGTTCACATAAATTCTATTTCTTCATGGATAAAAATTTAACTTAATATAAATGATCATCCGAAAACATTTCTATATAGATTCTTTTCAATTTAAACAGAAGAAAGTATGACAATGGTTCTTTTTTTTTGTTCTAGAAAATCAAAAATCACAAGAAAAAAATGAAGCTGAACAATTTGAATTAATACCTGGCGAACAAAGTAATTAGAAAATCATAGAACTTCTCATTTAACGCTTATTCCTTGTTGAAAACTAATATATTTTTTTTTTGTTCCAGTGCGTCCTAATGTTCAATCGATAAGTAAATTACCACCTATTAATCGTACAAAATTACGTCAATTAGAACTCGAATGGCTTTATGGTTCAACAAATTCATCAAAAATTCATGCACGTGAAACACATATTCAAATGGAATTTGATCAAATATTTGATAAACGACAACCTTCCTATTTTCCAAGTTTACCTAATCGACTTCAATTAGATCCAGATTCATATAAACAACGTTCTTGTTTTCCAACTATTACTATCTTAGATTCAACTTCTTAGAATTCTTTTGTTTTTTGTTTTATTTTATTAAAGAAATTTTTCAACTAAATTTTTGCTTAATTTTTATAAACGTTTTCAAATGAATATACTGCTAAATCATAAATGCTCATAATAAGTACTCGATTGATTTCCTAATTCAGTTGTTAATACATCCTTGTTCAGAAGTTTTTATACGTTCAATAGGTTTTCATGTTTGTTTATCAATTCAATCAAGTTCTTCTTGACTTATGTGATTAAGTATATCAATAAAAAAAAACTGTGTTAAGATGATGGCTATAAAACTTTAATACTATGATCAGTATATAAGTGTCTTGCTTGTTTAATAAAAAAATGAGATAAATGATTAATATCTCGATTATATTCAAAACCATTCATTGTTAATATATTTCCTTGCAGTTCCACTGATAATTAAAACTGTTTTGCATGTAAGATTGACATTTAAAGCTTGAACAACTTCTAATGCAGTTGATTTTGTATGTAATATGATCTATACTTAGTGTTTATTAATCTAACTTTATCTCTTAAATTGCGTCGTCCTATGCAAAAGAAAAAAATAAAAGAATGACGTTTTTATATACCATATGCAACTTATATTTGCTTTCTTTTCAAGTATTATTTGATTGTATTCATTCGTTTTGTAATAAATTGTAATCCATTGATTATTCTAAAAGATTTCTTTCAAGATTTCATACTAATCCTATTCACGATGTTGAAGTTGAATTTTACATCGCAAAAAAAAAAATTCGTGTAGAAAAGTTCAATATTCAGTTCAATAAGATTTATTAAAAATTAGATTGTAAATTATAAATCTTGTTCTAAGTAAATATTAATAAAATTGAAGATCTATTAGATTTAGAAATTTTAAACTTCTCTTTTATTTAAATAGAATAAATAAGATTGTTCAGTTCAATAAAAATCTTTTAGTTTGTCTTCAATTGTTGAAATTGAATAAAAAGAATCAGACTTTTAGTAGTTGTTGTATCGATATTATAAAGTATTTTGTATGAATTGAAATCGAATGCAGTTCTTCGTCATTCTATTTTTTACTTTGCAATGATAAATATTTATATTATTCTTTCAGAGACAGCATTCAGCCTTCTAACGTGTTCTATTTATACTGATTGATGTTAGTTTTCATCAAGACATTATTCAAAAATAGAAAAAATTATTTACCAGTTTATCTCGAATTCTTTTGCATTATCAAATATTAATATGAAAAATGTTGAGACAGAAGTATCGGTCTATAGTTTTATTTTTCTTCTCGTGTTACTATCTGTAACAAGTGACAATGTGTTATATTGCATTATCATATGATAAGACATTGTATTTTAGTATGCTGGTGTTGATGCATTTTTTATATACCTGTCTGTCTCTCCATAGATGAAAACAATGCTCTCACACTGTAGCTGAGATACAGGTAAAAACAAACATTCGTCGCTATGTAAGTGTACAATATTTTTTTTTAATACAATTTTTTTGTCTTTCATTGTGAATGGACCAATCGAATAATAATTGTAATAGAATGATGTATGTAAATCAAGTATTTTGATAATAAAAATTTTTTGTTTGCTTGTAGCGTTATAACCAATTGAAGATTTATTTGAATGGATGTTCTTGCTTCGTTTCCATGTTTATTTAAGAAATCATCCATAAAGATCTGAATGAAATAATGTGTAATATGAAGGATACACTTAAGATATTAGCTAGAGGTGTTTGGTCTCAATTATAAGGTTTACATATTGGAATTTTTAGTCTTTCAGATTCATTTTGCAAATTAAACACCATGGAAAGAGATGATGGTGTTATTCATACGCCGAGTACAAGTCGTTCAAATAGTATTAATGAAGATGAAACAAATTTATCTACTCCAGTTGTATCAATAAATCCATCAGAATTTTCATCTCCAGGTTTGTATGCATATAAATTCAGATAGTTAATCAACTGCAAGAGATTCTTTTTTTTTTTTGTGTAGAAGATGTTACTGAACAAATTAAAACAATACCAGAAACACAACTTACAGTTACATCAAATTCTTCGTCGGATTTTGACACAGATTTTGTTGCTATAAATACAAGTGATCTTGATCAAGATGCCGTAAGTTTTCTTTTAACATTGCCGGTTGATTGCTTCAGTTGATTGCTTTCATTTAATGATATGTAACAAATGGAATATGATTATTAAGCATTAGAATGGGTGCTTCATATGTTATTTCTGTCTTATTATTATTTATGTTTTTGAGAATCTTTTAAGAATTTACATGAGAATATATATATGCATATATTTTTTTTTGGTATTAAAAAAACAAAATTAAATTGATTTATTTATCTGTCAAATTTAATAATGACAATAATGACCTTTCGTGTCGAATAAATTTAAGAATCAATGAAGAAAAGAGAAAAATTAAAACCGATTATTTCGCTCATCACTAGTCAATGTCGTATATAATGCATTTTTCCCTCCTATTTAATTATCATAGCAGTTTACTCTAGATTCTATTACATATCTATGTATACACATATATATATATCCCCTGCCAAAGACTAATCAATCATCATTGCTATTGACCTTGATAACGATAATTAAAGTAGAAAAATTGTAAATGACTGACAAAAAAAGAAATTCTTTTCTTTATTCTATTGATAAATATCTCAATATTTAATAAATTCTTTGTGGAGGATAAATGATTGACAGATTTACAATGGAGGCAGATATTTGTTTCATTGATATCCGTACACATATCGATTACATTTGAAAATACATCGTCTGTCATTTGGTTAACATTTACCTATCTGATTAAATTACCCAACAGCAAATGTATTAGTCGATGAGTGAGCAAGAGTATTTCTATAGAAAAAAAAAAATATCCATCAATGTATTTGCTATAAATATTCTTGCTTTCTTTGTTTTTTTTTCTTCTTCTTCTTCTTCTTTCATCTGTTAATATGCTTTATAGATCTAATGGCAAATAGAAGACAGAGAAAATTGTTGTCTCAGTACTAATATGAATGAAAGGCAGTTTTGAGTCGCAAGAATTGTGTATATCAAAAAATACGTTAGAACAAGACGAAGAGAATAAGAATAAGAAAAAAAAGAAGCATGTTTGACGGTTCTATAAGCTACTGCTGTTGTTCTTTCTTCTTTCTCTGAGTTTGCTTGTTTATTGCTCGCCCGCATTTTTTTCCGTGTTTCACACTCATCATCATCCTTTTTTTTCGGTCCGACTTATTCGGCTATTGTCAATTCTGCAGTATTTTTTTTTTTTTTTTTCTGTTTTTTTTTCTTTTCATTCTGTTCTTTCTGTTCTTTTCCTCTTTATCGCCATCCGTTTTCTTTGCTTCTTTTTCGCACCGAATGCAAGAAAAATGTTCATATGATCAATATGGCGTCTGATGTCGAGGATCTCACCACGTTGTATTCTAATTTACCCTCGATATTTGAGAACAATGCATCATATTCCATAGAACCATCATATAATGCTATTGTCACTGATGTCAATACAGAAAAATCTTATCAACCAATATTCGGTTCATTCTCATTTGCCGATTCAGACCCGCTTAGCAGAGCAGCCTTCGTCACTTCTTCCTCTCTGTCTAGTGAAGTAGAAACAATACAAGAACGACAAATGGACAATTGTACTGTAGCGAATGAAAATAACACCTCAAGTAGTGATCAAGTTACACCATCATTACCTCAATCTTTAGAATCGACTGAGAATATTGATGATAATAATGATGAAGAAGATGATTTTGATGGTATACCAATTCGACATGCTTCCATTACAATGAAAGAAAAACTTAATGGTGATAGTGATTCAATGATGAATCATTCTAATCATGATCATTTATTTGATGCATTTATTAATCATGTTGAAAATTCACAGGATGATTATGATCTTGAAGATGATTCATTTTTAAATGATTTTACTGATGAACAGCATGATACAACAGCTATAGTACCATCTTTATTTAAAGATATTCCTGATATTGATGATCCAAATGAACATGAAGAAGATAATGATGATAGAATTCTTTTCGATCATATGGATATGTATAATCAATCGGATTCAATACGTTCATCATCACCTGATTCACTTTTATCTTCATCACATTTACAAGATGAACAAGATGATGATGATGATGATGATGTTAATTTTGATGATGAAGTCACACAATGGAATGATGATAATATTCTTCATTCTAGTTCATCAAATATAAATTCTCAAACTAATAGAACAAATCTACCGTTAATTTTACACATGCATCCATTCGATCAAGTAGATTTTATTGATTCATCACGTAGTAATTCAAGATGTTCGAATGTATCATCACATCTAAGTTTTGGTTATGCTGATCAAGCACGTATATTTATAAGTGATGATGGACTTATGACATCGTCTGATAGTGACGATAATGACAATAATGATGATGATATGAATTTAGACAGTGATACATTCAATCATAATAATGAAGAACTATGTCTACAAGTCAATGATGATGATAACGAAGACGTATGTCTCCAAGTGAATCTTGATGATAATCGATCAGTGTCTTCATCTAGTAGAAGTAATAGTACATGTTCAATATTATCCGCATCTAATGAAGTACCAATTATTGATATTGATGATGATAATGATGAATCAAAAAATTTACAAATAGCTCCTATTGCTGCAATGGATGATGAAGATGAAAATGAAAATGATTTACAAATATTTCAATCTAATCAATCAATATTACCAACTATAACATCTAATATAAAAAATCTTCTTGAATTAAAAAATGAACAACGAAAAAATGAAATTGTTCATGAAATAATTAATATGAGACATTTATTAAATGAAAATAATCATGATGATGAATTTATTGCAATTATGCATAATCCAAGAATATTCGAAGAAGTTTTGTATGACCATGATAATAGTAATAATAATAATAATAATGATGAAAAGGTAATTACAAATAAATATTTATTTTACGATTTTCAATATGTTAAAATTCAGTTTCTTTTTCTTTCAAGTTTTAATAAATGTAACACTTCTATAAGTCAAGGACAAAACATATTTGTCATTTCTCTCATAAAGTTTCTCTTTTTTAAATATACATATATACAATATCAGTCATTAGTATTACTTAATATAATATAAGTTATGCAATTCTAAGTCGATAGAAACTGTTATTATTCTTATTATTATCATATATATATATATATGTTAACTAGGCAAAACGAAAAAAAGAGGAAATCAATTTATCTTTTCTTGTTTATTGTAGAAGTTAGATTTAGTCAAGCAAATAAATTCTGTTACATGTAACTTCCGGTCATCATCACAACTATCGATTGATAATAAAATTAAAAACGAATCATTCGAGCATCATCAAAATATACAACAGACATCTCCATTATTAGAATCGAATAACGAAAAAACTCCACATTCTTATACAACGACAACGACAACAACAACAACAACAATAGCAAATAATTCTTCGTCTTCTACAGCTGCCGATTACCTTATCCTAGACGGCAATGAAAGGAAAAAGAATGCTCCGTCTGCTGATGTCGTCTATACAACCGACATTCTTAATATAAAACAACAAAAAGAACAGTTGCAATGCGAGCAAACAAATACTTCCCATATTGATTCAAAACAATTTACAAACGTTGAAGAACACAATCGAGTCATGAGTACGGACAATGAATCAGATGATGATGATTTAGAATTATTAAAAACACTTTCTCAATTACATGGTATAATTAATACTACTCCATCTATTGAAGAAAGCAATCGAATTGAACATCAAATATCATCAGATTCTTCAAGTATAAATCAAGAACAAAATTCTCCTGAGTATTTACATGAAAATATCATCACAAATGGAAATCAAGCAGAATTATTAAATAAGAGAAGCCGACAAAATACTCCTATAACACTACAATCGTCGCCTTATGTCACTGACACTATAAAAAATTCTGACGAAGAACAGGAAGAAAAAGACGAGAAAAAAAATATTATTTTTTATAAAAATCATTATAATGATGATGATGATGATGGTAGTGACGAGAGGCAAAAGGAAAAATACGCGAATAGAGAAGAAAAAAAAACAACTACGTTTTTTTCTTTAACATCGACGTCTCCTGCTTTATTTAATAATGATTCACACTCTACTGTCGTTGCTGTCGACCCTGATGCATCGTCTTTATTGCCCAACTTGTTATTATTATCATCAAACAAACTAACCGATTCATCATCTATTTCGAATCAATTAATTGCCGACGTTTTGCAAATATCAAATACAAAATCAAACATGGATAATTTATCTGATGACAAACGTAATCAAGAAATAACAACAACAGATCTATTTGATCCATTTTCACCAACAGCTACAACTACAACCGGAGAAAGTAATTTTGATAATATTTTTACTCAATTAAAAGATGATAATGATGTCGAAGAATTAAACATGCAATCAACTAGGTTTCCATCAAATTCAACATCAACACAACCATTAGGAAATTATAGTTTTGATGATTTATGGAATCAATCAATATCTCAAATAGAATCATTAAATGAGTCTGAAATAAAACCTAACAATGATTTTGATCCAAATACATTTTCATGGGATGCATTTTTAAATAATGATAATAATAAAAATGAAAAATTAAATCCATTTGATGATAATACAATTATTCCAAATAATGTAAATATAACATGGGAATCATTATTTGGTGAAGAACAAGAAACTCAAGATAAAAATGATCTTAAAAATTTTCTAGATTGGATTATTGATCATTTAGATGATTCTGAACAAATTGATGTTCAACCAATTATTACATTTACTTCAACACAAAATCTTGAAAGTATTGTAAAAGATATTCAAATGTGTTCAATGCCGTTTGAACCAATACCATCACCACCATTACATATTGATCATACAGTTTCAAATCCAATGATTAATGGAATTCATCATGAATTATTTCCTATTAATGAATTGGAACAAGTTGACATAAATCAAGGACAACAATCAATGATAATATATGAAGAAGATGAAAATGAAATTGAAAAAGAAAATGATGAAATATCATCTATCAATTATAATATAAATTTAATTGCTGAAAATTTAGTTTCAAATATTATAGAATTAGCATTAAATCAAGTTGATGAACCTTATTATCAAGTTGAACATTTTGTTGATCAAATATTATCAGAAGCAGTATTTGAAATTTATAATGAAGATTATAATTTATTAAAATTAGAAAAAAATGATACAATACCAATAGAAAATCTTGCAACAATTATTAATTGGCATAATTCAGTAAAAACAACAAATAATAAACTACTTGATCCATTTGATAGTACTTGGATTAATCAATTTCAAACATCGAATAATACAACGAATGAAAATTTAGTTGAAAATGAAAATAAAACTAATGTTGATCCATGGTTATTAACAAGCATAGAACATAAAAATGAACTTGATCCAATGACATTATCTAACACTCTTGATGAATCGGATTTATTTTCTTCTATTAGTAATCCGGTGAATAAAATTTCGGAATTAGAAGATGATGAAACGGGAACTCTTAGTGAATATCTACCACCGCCAATATTAAGAGATCCTTCGAATGCAACTACGGCTGCTAATAATTTGATGAAATATACACTAACAGCACCCGTTTTGGACGATAGTGGTGACGATAGCTCATTTCAAGAAGATTATTTTATGTCACATAAGGTATTTACTTGCTTAAATTATATTCTTGTGTTATTCAAACTAACCCGAATATTTATTTTTTTATAAAATTTTTTTAAGTATATGGGTAAACTGATTAATTATATTGCTATATTGCTTTCAGCTCATTTACATTTTTATATTTGATTTCATATGTTGTTTTTACATACTTGAATAATTTTTTATATATAATTATACATTTAGAATGAATCATCAATAGTAACAAATACAAAAGTTGATGAAGAACCAATTAAAACAAAAGATTTAACAGTATGTCATTTTATTAGACTAATTAAAAACACGGAAGAAAAACAACTTTTTTTTTTCTTTTTCTAGTCGACCGATGAAAATGAGATTGAAACCGATGAACAAAATAATATTTTTTCACAAAGAACACATTCATTAGAATTTGAAGCATTCGCTAGTGATCAACCATTAGATTCATCCGAAATCGAATCGAAATTTCCTAATATAACTGCTCAATTTAATGATGAATTTGACGAATCTTCACAACAACAACAACAACAACAACCATCAACAGATGATAATACACCATGGATTACTATTGAAAAAACACCTGAAACTATTCAAACTAGTAGTATTAATAAAGATGAACCATGGGAACTTGAAGATAGTGGGGAAGAGAATATTACACCAGAAAAATCTAATTTACATAAAAACTATTTTTCTGATTCATTTAATGTACCAACAGCTATTGAAAAACATCCAAATGATGATAAAGACAATTATGATGATTATTTTACTAAACAACAATTAAATGAAAATATCGAACAATCATTAACAAAAAATGCATATGACGATGATAATAAAGAAAATATGCAAACTACAACATCATTAAAAGATAACATTAATGCAACAGAATCGTCAACAACTAGCGATTCAGATATAGTTGAAGTTAATGATATTGCACCAAATGTTGAAACAATTAACGATCGTATTACGGATCATATGCAAACAAGTTATGTCAATGTCGATGAAGCAGATGTCAAAGTATGTATTTATTTTCTCAGTATTTTAGTCAATTGAAATATTACTTGATTTTATTTTTAGATCGAACATCCTAATGAGTCAATTGAAACAACACCTCGTATGGTAGCTGTTCAATCGGAAAGTGAAGATTTACCACCACCGTTACCAGCGCTACCACCGTTAAATAATAAATCAAGTATTTATTAAAAAAAAAAAAAAAAATATTTTTTTTCCTCAAAGAAATTTTTATTTATATATATATTTTTTTTAATTAGATATTTCAAATAAGAATTTGCCATTAAAATCAGCACTTTTATCATCAAATAATGATACACAATATAAAAAAGATTTACGTTCAGAATCAGAAATTACTCCAACTAATCGAACAACAATTGACACAAAAATTCGTAGTCAAACAGATACACAATCAGTTTATCCATTTGAATCAGGTATTGTAATATTTACAATCTATATTTTGTTGGAGGCGTTTGATGTCGTGTATAATGTTGATTATTTGATGAATATTTATTTGTATAATTTGAAACCGTATCATGATAATTTGAATTATATGGTACTTGTAAATTAACAGTTTTCGATTGTAATAATGTTGTTGGTTGAATAACATTTACTCGACGTCGTGGTTGTTGTACTATCGGTGGCATAGCAATAAGAATAGGTAGATTATCTTTTCGTAGTTTAACTAATGGTATTTGACTTTTATGTTTTTTATGTCGTTCATCAATTAAAATTTTTAATTCATAAATTTTTTTTCGTATACATTCATCTTTTAAATCATTAACAGTTAATGATCGACAAAGTTGTTCAAGATCAATTATTGGTATTGGTTCTTGTTGATATTGTTTTAATGGAACTTTATTGATAGATGGCGTTGGTTTAGAAATTTTTGTCTAGAGAAAAAAAAAAACAACAACAGTAAGAATTCATAAAAATAAAGATTTGTGTTTCTTTTTTGTTTTAATTACTGTTATTGGAAAAGTTGATGATTTTATAGGTTGATTTGTTTCTTCTTTTGTTTCAAGATAATCAAGATATTCAAAAAGTTTTTTATCTTCATTTATATTTGTTGTTAAAGTTGATGTTTGAATAATTTTTGGTAATGGATGAGGAGAAGGTGTTTTAATAACGTGTTCAACTGTTTTTTTTGATGGATTCATATGTTCATTTGTTGGTCGTGTTTTGATTTCATTTTGTTGTTCAATAAACCAATTATTATTATTATTTAATTTATTAAGATTTTCACATGATGATGTTGGAATTGTTGTTAAAGTTTTATTAATCATATCAGCTAATGTTAATTTTGTTGATCGAGTTTCTGATGTTGATGAATTCATTTCATTAAATATAACACTATCAATCTCATCATTTTCATCTTCATCAAATATACTTGAAATTTCATCACCATCATCATCATTAATATTATCGATTTTTTTATTTGTAATTGGTATATCTGATGGTGTCTTTTCAATACGTACATCAATTTGTTTTGATGATGGTTTTGTATCAGGTTGTTTAACTGATATATTAATCATATAAGTTTCTTCGAACATACAACGAGATTTTGCTTTTTTATCATCTATATTTGAACTTGAAATATTCATTAATTCATCTTTGATACATACGATTTTATCATCATTTTCTTCAACTTGACAAGTATTCATATGACCTCGTTGTACATCATAAGAACCATGTAAAAAAAATTTAAGTAATTCATCTTCACTACGAACTTTTGTAGTTTCCAATGTTGGTTTTCGACTAGATGGTGTAGGTTTATGATAAGATGTTGCCATGGCAAGAGTTTCACTAGCCATTGGTTATTACGACAGAATGTATGTCACGTTTGGTCACAAAAAACGAATGAATACGAACATCAGAAGTAAAGGCGTATATTTGAATGAATACTCATGGTCAATACAAAATCGATTGAAAGCTACATCATCATCATCATTATCGCGTAGATATATATATAAATGTATACATTCATATGATAAAGCAAAAAAAACCTTGACCGCTAACTGCTCACTTTCTATCGTTGTTACGTAGTTGACACGTATGCACTATGATTATATCAATGATGTACATCATATTCTCATAACCAAAAAGAAAATTTAAAAAAATAAGAATATGATTTACTTTTGAAGAATATAAATTTTTTAAAAATAATTGTCTAAAATTGAACTAACTTAATTTAATGAAAATGGTATTGATTGAGTTGAATAAAATTCACGAGATTCTTCCATAACAATTGTAGTTGTAGAAGACATTGTTCTTATTGGTGGTCTAAATAATGGATCAGTTTCTACTGGTTCAGATTGAGATGAATCATGTCTAATGACATGATAATTATCATTATCGGTTGTTGTTAATGGTGTTCTTTCAGCTGATTCATGTTTAATAGATGTAAAATTTGATCGTCGTATTTTTTGCTCATCAATCATATCGAGCGTTGGTGAAGAAGGTGTAGAAACAGTCGCAAATATTGCTGTAAATGGAATTGTATTAATAGCATTACGACGAATAATAAGATTCGCAATAGTACTTGATAAAGGTGGTGATGGCGGTGATTCATGTCTTGATAATATTGATTTCACAAATTTTGATGCTGTAAGTGTATCATCATCATTATTTGAAATTGATAATGATGATTCAGTTGGTTGTTGACTTTGATATTCACCTTGAATAATACGTTGTAATTCAGCAATTGATACTGGCGTATATAAAAGAGTAGGACGATCACCTTGATAAAAAACTGATGGTGAACGACGACGATCATATACTTTTTGTCGTCGATAATAAGCTAATTCAAGACAATGTAATATAATTCGAGTTAGACCAATTAATAAAAGACATATAACAATAGGTGATATTCCAACTAACACAGCATATAATACACGATTAAAACATTGACTCGAACAATATTCCATTGTCGATTTTTAGAAAAAAAATTGGTACTTTCTCGATAATATTAATTATATAAAAAAAGTTTACTTGCTAAAGTTCTTTTTATTTTTATTTGTAATCAAAATATTAAACAAATCAATATTGGTATAACTTTACAAACTTTTGGATTATGCTAACGAAGTGTTGAAAACAAAAGAGAGGCAAAAAAAAAGGCCATAAAGATAATAATGTCCATAATAACAAAAAAAAACAACAACAACAACAGCAAACATATTGGAAACAGAAATAGGATAGAAGCTTAGCGGATAAATTCCACATCAAAAAGGATCTATCTATGATTATAACAGAGAAAAAGAATTACAGTTTAGCATGCGATGTTACCATCGTTTAGCTGTCTGCTAAACGATGACATACATATTGATGGATGACATAAAGCTGTATTTGTGTTCTGCATGATGAATCAAACAACTTGAGGAATTGTTTGTTGATCAGAATCATCTATAGATGGATTTGAAACAACAAGACATTGTTCCGAACATCGTACAATTTCTAATTGTTTTTTAAGTTGCCAATTTGAATAACAACGTGATAGTTGAATACACATACTTAAACTAATATATAATATTATTGCAATAACTAATGGTGTAAAACCAAGAAGTAAAGTATTTTTTAATGTTGTACTATGGTTATTAATTTCTGATTGTTCAATTAGATCTTTTCTTTCCTAAAAAAAAAAATCAAAGAATATAAAAATATTATTAATGAATAGAAAAATATAAATTTATCTATACCTCAGTAGTGACCATATAGTCTAGTTTAACTAACTTAGAAAAGTAATGATGACAAAATGATATTTGTGTCTTTTAACTAAGGACTAGAATATATATATATATATATGTTCATGTCTTTGTCAGTTCAAATAAGCACATCGCATACTCAATCATCTAATGAATGATGTGATTCTCTTCAAGGAACATGTTGGTAGAAAGAGCAGATCTCTACTATGCTTTCTTTCTCATCCGCTCATCAACATAAAGTCCTTCTTGTTGCGCCGTTGAATATAGAAGATTGAGAAAAGAGCGATCGACGAACAATCAAGTGGTAGCAACGGAGATTCCGAAAAGAAACAGACAGAGACAGAGAGAGAGAGAAAACGATGAAACCAAAAAACGAGCAAGAAAATATGTTCTTCATAATTGTTTGTGAAAAGAACGTTCTATTCTGAACAGCGTAAATGAAATTAGTTCATGTGTATGCGCGTATGCTCAAGATAAACAGAAAAGAAAAGGAAGATTTATATCAAAAAACATTTTGGTTTTTTTTGACTGTCGTTACTATTTCAGGAAGCTATGTCTATTCATTTCCGTTCATTCACTCATCAATATGAGCAAATGTTTGCACATATGACAAAAAAAAAAGAAAATGAAAAGAATATTTGCAACATCCGTAGATCTTATTTAAAAAAAAAAAAAAGAAAACAACAAGACGAAGTAATCAAAATAATTTTTTTTGTTTTTCTCGTATAGCTCTTCTTCGTTCAAGTTCTAAAGATGATAATGATGTTGATTCAGACGAAGTAGATGGTGTAATTTCATGTGTAATTGATAATATTCCAGTTAATATTGATGCTAAAACAATTACTCCATTCAAGAGTGTTATTAGTTCAGCAGGTACATTACATGAAGATAATCAAACACTTGTAATTGCTCTTTATGGTTGTTGGTTACCTGATCATCGTCTTAGAGAATATCGTTATATTATGGATCAACTTTTTTAGTAAGACAATTCTAAATTTTTATTTTTATTATAAATTTTATTTATTTATAATATAGTTATGTTTATCATAAATTAGAGAAATTAGTTGTAAATGATTATGTTCTAATTTATTTTCATGGTGCAACACCAAAACATCGAACACCGGATTTAAAATTTCTACGTAAATGCTATCAAATGATTAATTTTCGGTAAAAAATTTTTCGTTTTATATAAATTTTTATTATTAATATTTGTATTCGAATTAGACTTCGAAAAAATCTTCGTGAAGTCTATGTTGTACATCCAACACGATGGCTTCGTACTATTATTGCTCTTTCGAGACCATTTTTTAGGTAACAAAAAAAAAAAAGATTTACTTTTATTTCTATAATTTTTATTTTTCTCTTTTAATTAGTAAAAAATTTTATCATAAAATCAATTATTTATATACAATTGCGGAACTTGAACGACAATTTCCTCGTAATCGTCTTTCAATTCCAGCTATAATCGAACAGTAAGTTGTTGTTGTTTACTGTGTATTCTATTGAAACTATCAATCAAGTCTTCTTATGAAATTATTTTGATGAGAAAAATACCTATTTTCTCTTTATCTAGATAACATATATTAGTATCTATTTACAGCTATCAATAGAGAAAAAGAAAGGTAGCATATTGTTCTCGTAATTAATGTTGGGGGAAATCAAATTTGGTGTTGTCTTTTTTTTTTTGTTTTTGTTTTTTGTACGATTAATTGGTGATGGTGGTGATGTTTTCGTCGTTATTATTTTCTCTTCACTTGCTTTTAGACATGATCAAACTTATCGTGCTCAATAAAAAAAAAAGCGAATATATGAGCTATGGTAGAAAAAAAAATTAACATATTATTCTTATTTTTAACTTGTATATTACAATGAATAACAACTCACTTAGCTTTTTATTTTCTTAAATTTTTATACTAATCAAATTGATTTTGTTTATTGAAAGTAAACAACAATCAATGCTTTAAATTTACTTAGAAAGCGTTAGAATTATTCTTTTCTATTGAGATAGTAATGATGGATATATATATATATATATCCGTAATATTTATTCAGATATGATTTACAACTTTCGAGAAGCAGATTCTTTCGACTTTTTCGTTGGTTGTAATTTGTAAGTATGTTTTTGAAAGACATTTAGAAATGAAAAGAAGAATTGCATGCATGACTATTTTTTATTGCATTTAACATTGAAAATGCTTGTTAGCTTTTTTTATTTGTTGTTTATTATATTCATTATAATATGGTGTGTGTGTGTGTGTGTATTTGTTTGCTTTTACTTATATTTATATTAATTTTTGTTTCCTTTATGGGAAACTGAAGTATATATATATATATATTTAAATTTTATAGGACGGACTGGCTATATTCTCAAAAGTATGATCGTCACAATGCAAGTATAAATCGTTCTATTGCACAATCAATATCTCGCTCTATCGTTCATAATGAAGATGAAGCAGTTGCTTAAAAATATCATTGCTATTCATGATTATTTTACGGTTATACCCGGTCTTTTTCTTATTGTTTTATTTTTCTTCTATAATTTAATTTTTATTCTTGCTTCTTCTTTTTGTTGTGCAATAATGTGGTGCTGCGTTTTGTTTTCTTGTTGTCATTTCTTTCTTTTTTTTTGTTTTACATATCGTATATCTGCTTAGTGACAGTTCATATTGTATATGTGCATAGGCAAAAACACTGTTTGTTTTTTTAACAATTAAAATTGTTTGTTATGTTTTAAAAAGAAAACAGCAAGACGAAGTGAAAAATCAAAATAAGCTCGAAAATTAGAAATCAGACAGTGTGTTGCCTCGTTTTTTTTCCGATATGTGTGTGTGTATGCTTTTTTGTTTCTTCTCGATATATTTTGAAATACATATTTAACTAGTTCGTCACTAATTTCAAATGTCAAATGATGTTTTTTTTTTTTATTGAACTTACGTATAAATATGTGATTGCTATTAAATCAACAAATTTTATGTCTATAAATATCGAAGTCGTAAAGATGGCAAAGTTTGACGAGGGCACAGTGTCAAGTGATAAATGACTTTTGAGGCAAGTCTTATCTCTTATATGATAGATCCTGTTGACATTGAATAAAGCGTAAAATGATTTGTACTTATGCATATTTCTTCCTAGGTTACGATCACTCTAGAAAGTATTTTAACAAAATATGTTGTTACGATTCACAATCAAGTTTTGAGTTCAAACTTTGTATGAAGAAAATTCTCAATGAGTCTTGTTCATTGTGAAAAATATCAGACTTTCTAATATCTTCTATATTGAAATATAAGTATAAGAATAATGTTTAGTTTTTTTCGTATAACAGAATCTTCATTATTGATATCTGACAATAGGAGATACTAGAAACTCTTACAGTATTACAATGAATTAATCCCTTTAATCGAGAAAAGTTTGAAGTTGAAACTCGATTTTGATGATGATTTGAGCAGGACTATAATGTTTTGTTGAAAAAATTATTAAAAAATAATCATAAATTAACATGAAAGTCCCCTGAGCACGAATTCTTTCATGCATCATCTAGTCTCCATAGGGCTTATCTAATAAGCTAAGATTTATCTCAAAAGCAGTTTACCATTGGGTCAAATTCTCTGATTAGTTCAAGATATACCAAGCATAATTTAGAGTCTAATGATGAATTATCATTTATATATTTTGTTGAAGAATCATTTCCATTCTAGTCTTTTTCTAACTGTTTAATCAATTTTATAGTTAATAAACATCCTATCATTGTGTTGTATACTATACTGATATCATTAAACAAAAAAAAAAATTATCTTTAAGCTATGTCAATCCCAGTCATCATAATTTTTTTGAGATTTATAAAATTACTATAGTATCTTAATAATGTATGTATAAATAGATGATTAATTTTAAAAGAGTAAAACGAAAACCTGCGTTCGAACCATTGTATCATAGATGAATAGACTACAGAATGAAAACTGTTTTATTTTGTTTTGTTTATATCATACACATTTATTGTTATTTTCTACAGCAAACTATTCAAAATGCATCATGACATATGTTTTCATCGATGATAGAAACTATATGTGTATCTATGAGCAGATTCTGCTATTGCTATTAAGACATTCTGTCATATTTTTCTGATATCGTCCATTCAAGATGTTATTATGCTGATAATAGTACTCGTCGCTTCAGAAAAATAGACGAAACATTTCGTTTAGAAATGTCATATACAATCAAGCATGAAATTTCTCCATATTCTTTTGTGAAAGAAAAAAGTAATTATGACAAGGATGGAAATTTTTTCTGGGCATATAGTTTGAAATGGTTATTTTGTATTGTAATTATCTAAAAATTAGAGAGTTGTACGATATTCATTCAAACATTGTTATAGAGTTCTTTATTGATCAAAATTAATTGTTTAGAAGAGAAGTATCGATTTCATCCCAATAAGACTTGAAATACAAGGAAAAATATTGACTTGGTCCTTTCCCGTTTTATGTCTAAGTAGTTTTCGGATAGAAATCAATTAAATAAACAGATGGCACAAAAGTTTTGCATTAATTTTGTTTCCAATATAGCATAACAGCAAATCATCGTTTGAGATTTGATAGTTTCCTTATTGGAAAGAACAAAGTCTCTACAACAAAGTTGCGAAAAAAAAATATTTGGTTCAAAATATTTATCAAAGAGTGTAAAGTTTTAAGAACATTTTTGGCTGGGAAAGTTCTTTGCATGTTCTTCATCCACTAAGAAAGTTAGTCTTATTTTCTGCCTTTTATTGGGTTTTGTAGAGCTATAGTAGGACATTGTAAATAGGCAAAAATAAAATTTTCAAAGTATCGGTTGAGTGCGTAATCGATATTTTTCCAACGACCTTTGTTAGCAAAAAATGTTCACAACTAATCAGTGATTTTGAAAAGTAAGGCTTTTTTTTTCAGCAATCGAAGTTAGTAAAATTCCATATTGTATTTCCATTTAGAGTTCAGTGATTCTTCTACCAAAACACATTATATAAAACAGAATGAACCAAGTGTTTAGTAAAATTGTTTTCTATGAAACCTGTAGTTTTGTAACTCGAATATTTCGATACTACAAGAAAGCTTGTGTCACGTTGGTTACACTCAAACATAATGTACATAAAAATTTCGAAAGTCACGTGTAAAGTAAACCGAGCAAATACACTTCTCAGCACGCTATACAGAAAACACAATTAATATAGAACTTTTGCACATTCTTTTTGATTATTACGTTTCTCAATGATATATTACAAATAAGTTCCGTATCAGTATATTTACTTTAAATACATTCATTGTACATGAGCTGTCTGATTCCGTTCTTGTGAGAATCAGAACTGAGCTTGAAACTAAAACCAGTAAAATTCTGTTTATCTCTAATATTCACTAAGAAAAGATTCAAGTACTGATTCGATGTTTTTATTAAATTATTTTCTTATTCGATTGTTAAGTGACGGCAACTGTTAAATCTAGTAATGTCGACATGCTTATTTGTTATGAGGATATTGAATCAAATGGAATGTGTGATGATGAACAAGAATAAATGATTTTATCCTCTGAATGAACTCTATTATATCAATAACACTATGAGACCTCACATATACATCCTATGTAAGGTGAAATAGTTCAGCTACTAATTGAAATCAATATTTTTACGATAGAATTTTCAGAAGATCAATTAGGATGGAATGAATTTATTAGGAACGATCAGAGTATCTTAGTCGAATGATCTCTGAAGATCGGATCGGCAACCGTGATAAATTACTAGATATAGTGTAATAAAAGTAGAGAACAACCTTGAATCGGTTATCACGATATTATTTTAGTTATTTGATATTTTTAAATGGGGCTTTCTGATGAAAAATATACCAATAAATAGATCGATGAATGAAATACATAAAAGATTAGATATAATCCCTATCGAAAATCTGGAAAAAAAAAGATATAGTTACTATAAAAATACTTACGCTTTCAACATTTATATATAACGTGAAATGACAGTCATTCAATCATTTGTTTGAATACTGTTAGAAACAAATACTTTCATACGAGACTGGACCATGATCGATATTGATACTTCAACATTTAATCAAAAACAGAAACAGCAATCATAGTAGCGAAAATTTCATGAAAAAGTTTGCTCACTATATCAACTTCTCTCAAATTAACAAATGTTTTGAACATGATTATGTTGGTTTCATTCAATCTATTACTTGTTCTAACGATAAATATTTGAATATGCATGTTCAATTTCTATATACACATTTACTAAAATCATCCATCACTTATGCTAAATGTGCGATTGTATTTACATGATTGATAATTACTTTTTTTTTTCGTGTGCTCATATGTCAGATAGAATCTTAAATGAAGTAAAAATGTGTTTAATGACTCCGCCTAGTTATTTATTTTTATTTTCAAACCGATTTTAATCAAATAAAATATTTCGAATACTAAAATCTTAATTCGTTATTTGTTAGGTGTGTGTGAATAAATGACTATCAGACATTTTTCTTTGAATGATACTCTCTGTAAACAAAACAAAAAATATATTACATGCTACTTTGATGAATAACTTGACCCTTTAATCAGTTGTTGTCATCTATTACATAATCATTCATGTTTATTAATGTTGTTTTTGATTGCTTTTATCATCGTACAGATTGAAATGCAAATATACAATACCATAGTAAATCACAATTTTTTGTTACATGACCTTATATCAAGAGGGTTTTCGGTGCAAAAATAATAGAAACATTGATAAAAAAAAAGACTGACAAGAATATATATTTCGGTACTTGATTTGTCTATGATAAGTATGTCTTTGATCTGAGATAAAGATTGAAATTTATTCTATTTCATGCTTCAATTATTGCATTGATTGATTAATGGAATATTTTCGTTGGTCGTACTTCGAACGTAGTATCATGGAATCGAATTTCAACATACATTTAATTTAACACCATACAAAACTTTATCATGTCTACGTCAACGTTGATCATAAAATTCACTTACCTGTTAAAGGTAATTAATTGATCTTAAAATTTTATAAATAACTAACTTCATCCTAGTTGATTTTTAAATTTTCAAATGAACTACTTTTCATCTTTAAATTTTAAAGTCAAATCTGATTCATGTCAATATAGGAAATCTATTAGTAAATTTTCATCGAAATATAATAGAAATTTACTGTTTTTACTTTCAAAAAATGTAAAGAAAAGTGACATCAGTTGATGTGAAAAATGATGAAATAAACAAGATACATGTGAATAGCTTTTTTAAATGACGATTAAAAATTTCTAAAATTAACTTATCTGATCAAATCACTAATCGTACTTGACAAATATGAATCAATCTTAGAACAAACTGAGATTCACACAGATTGTCAACATCGAAAAATACAAGGTCATATACGAATGTGTGAATTATGGCTGTGTGTCGTATTATACGATGAAAATACTGCTCTTATTTGGTCGTAAATAATAAAAACATGATGATCATATTCTTATCATCTACGACCCCTGAAGAACAGTATTTTTTTTTCGTGTACAATGATATATGGTTATATTTCAGGTACCCCCTGTTTCAAGTTACCCTTTTAGACCATAGGATGAATGCTATCGATGTCTTCTTTTAATAATGATACTTTGTATATTTCTACTGTATTTCATTAAAAGAATTCTTCAAAAATTATTTATAGAATTTCTATTTTGAAATGAATTATAATTGAATAGTCACCTGTCTTATTTTGAAATTTTAACATCAACTAAGATAGAAATTAGTTGTGACTATGAAAATTTAATCATTAACTAGCTCCATCTTACTTAACTCAAAAATTTTAAACTTAATTGGTTAACTCTTCAATTGTAAACTCAACTAATTGTATTTTCAAAACAATTGAATTGAACTTCGATCATATATATATATATGTAATTTTCTATCTTATGTCAGACAATACTGCAAGTGAATATTGACTTCTCTTTTTCAATTTTTTTCTTTTGACCTGCGTATTGTGTAGTGATAAAAAGAAAGAAATAAAAGAAGAAAAAACGAGGGCGAGCGCATATAATAGATAAACGCATTGATATATACCATGCATTTATATTTTTATACTTTCGAAGTTCGCAATAAACGATAAAGCATACAATGGCAAATATTGTAGAAAACCGTTATGGCAAAGAAGGTGTTCGTCTTGTACGAGTACGTCGTTCACCATACAATGGAAATACATTCAATGAATGGACAGTACGTATTTTAATCGAAGGTGACTTTGTTAGTAGTTATACTGAAGCTGATAATTCTAAAGTTTTAACAACAGATACAATGAAAAATACAGGTAAACATAATATCTCTAAAAAAAGACACAATTTCGTTTTTTTTTTTGTTGTAAAATATTTCAGTCTATTATATGGCACAACGTACAAGTGCAAAATCAATTGAAGATTTTGGAAAAGAGCTTGCTAATTATTTACTTGAGCATCATTCACAAATATCAGCTGCTAATATTGATATTGAAAGTAAAGCATGGTCACATATAGTTACATCAAATAAAGTTCGTCATCCAACATCATTTGTTCAAACAAGTAATGAAGTACAATTAACAACTGTTAAACGTTCAAGGCATGGTAGTTTTTCAATTGTATCTGGTCTTAGTGGTTTAAAAGTAATGAAAACGGCTAATTCAAGTTTTGCGAATTTTTATAGAGATTCATTAACAACATTACCTGAATCAACTGATCGTCTTTTTGGTACAGCTATTGTAGCTCTTTGGACATATGAAGATGGTTCAGCAATAATGGATTTTGATAAAACTCGTCAACAAATTCGTTCATTGATGATTGATTTATTTGCTGAACATGAATCCGAAAGTGTTCAACATACAATGTATGATATGGGTAAACTTGTTTTAAATAATGTTAAATCTATAAGTAAAATACATCTTACACTGCCAAATCTTCATTGTTTACCTGTTGATTTAACTCGTTTTGGTGAAGAAAATAAAAATGAAATATTTATGCCTATTGATGATCCTCACGGTTATATACAATGTACATTAACAAGATCATCATCAAAAGCATCCGTTTTATCAAAACTTTAAAATTGACGAAATCTTTATTTTTTTTTTTTGTGATTATATCACTTTTTTTTCCTTCATTATTAACTAAAAATGATTGTTTTTTCTTTTTATTTCAATAAATTTTTAGATGGCTAAAACTTTAACTACACATATTCTTGATTTATCATGTGGTCGACCGGCTGCTAATGTACCAGTTCGAGTTGAAAATTTTATAAATGGAGAATGGATATTAATGCCAACAACAGCAACAAAAACTAATGATGATGGTCGTGCATTTGATTTAGTTCCCATAGAGAAATGGCAACCAGGTCGATGGCGTCTTATATTTGATATAGATTCTTATATGCCTGATGGATTTTTTCCTTCTGTTACTATTGAATTTTGTACTAAAGATACAGCTCATTATCATGTACCACTTTTACTTAATAAATTTGGTTATAGTACCTACCGTGGATCATAAAATATATATTCAATGATCTTCCTTTTTTTTTCTTTTATTAATAAAACGAAAAAAGCAAAATTATTATGTATTATTAATAATGTGTTTTATTTTGGGATTCTGCCCACATTGAAAATGCTTTTGATTCATCTTTAAGTAATTGAGTTATACCAACACGTCGTTCATGTAATTCGCGTGCTAATTCTTCATAAATAAAATGATCATCAAAACCGACTAGAGAAAAAAAAACAGACAATTATTTGAAAGTCATTTTTTTTTTAAATTTATCTTACTATCTTTAGCATCATGTTTTGAATGTGAAAAATAAATATGATCAAGATGTGCCCAATAAATAGCACCTAAACACATGGGACATGGTTCACATGAACTATATATAACACAACCTTCAAGATTATGTGTGTTTAATTCTTGACAAGCAAGACGAATTGTCACCATTTCAGCATGTGCTGTCGGATCATTTGTTGGAACAACTCTATTTGCACCTTGAGCAATAACTTTACCGTCTTTACAAATTACCGCTAAAGAAAAACAAAAGCATTATACTATAGAATAATACATTACTGTAGAAAATAAAAAATAACTTACCACCAAAAGGTCCACCGCGTCCATGTTCAACATTTTCTTCTGCTAACTAAAAGAATATATATATATCGATTAAATATAACTATTTAAATAAATCTAATTTCTATCTTCTTACTTTAATAGCCAAACGAGTATATTTTTCATGTTCTGCTCGTGTACTTTCGTCAACACTTGTCTCAATAAACATACCGTGTTCCTCCATAATAAAACGTATAAAATCTAAAATATTTTTATTATAAAAAAATAAAAATGAATGATTCTTTGTGTATTCTTGCTACTGACAAAATATAGACTTGTTTCAATTAGCTAATCGAGAAGTATAATCTGAGAATCAAGATTAAGCAAAGACACACTGAGTTTGACTTTAAAAAAAAACTGCATTTTTGAGTTTTTTTTTTTTCTCTATCATATCATCTCAAGGTATTCTTTCATGAAGAGTAAAATGCAC